TGGGCGTGCCTGGGGTATGCCCTTGTAAACTTGTAAATTTCATTGTCTTTATTTTATGACTTACTTACCCAAAAAAATAAAATAAAAATTTGTTTGGTTATGAATTTTGAAAATAATTTTGAGTTTTTGAATTTTAAATTTTGAAAAGAATTTTGAGTTTTGAAAAGAGTTTTAAGTTGTACTTTGAGTTTTAAGTTTTTGAATTTTGAGTTGTATTTTGAAATTTTTCGATTTATTTCTTTTAAATATTTAAAAACGTTTAAGAAAATTTTATTTTTTATTTTAAATATTATTTTCATTTTTGTAAACATTTTAAATTCAGAAACATAACTCCACACTTAAATCAGAAGCAAACACATAACTTAAAACTCAATTCAAAAACTATTTTTAAAACTCATAACCAAACACATAATTCAAAATTCAATTAAAAATTTTTAATCAAAATATTGTTTTTATTTTTATTTTTTTTGAAAAATAATTTTTGTTATTTTTTTAAGTATTGGCCAAATAATTTGTTATGGTTTAGATATATATGGGCATCCAATTTTTTTTGAAATAAAAAAAAAATTAAATATTTAAAAAAAGTTAAAAAATATTAAAAACATTAAAATATTAAAAAAATTTTTTAAATAAAATAAATTATTTGAAATAAAAAAATAAAAATTATATATTTAAAAAAATAATTTTTTAAAATTTTTAAATATTTAAAAAAATACAGTGCACAATTATATGAAATATAGTGCACATTAAAAACATACAACTCAAAACTCTTTTCAAAATTCATAACCAAACAAATTTTTCTCTTTTCAAAACTCAACTCAAAATTATAATTGAAAAAACAACCTACACTCAAATCATGATTTTAAAAAATAAAATAAAGAAATATCTTTTAAAATTTTTCTTTAAATAAAATTTTGAAAAGAATTTGGTTGTGAGTTTTGAAAAGAATTTTTAATTAAATTTTGATTTGCATGTTTGGTTACACATTTGAAAAAATTTTGAAATTTTTTTATTCGGTAGTGTTGCATGTACCAATTAGTGTACTAACTAGTATACCAACACTAATTATGATATTATTATTGACCCCCCACTCATTAATAACATTACAAATACTAAAATATTCTTAAATTATGTCACATCTCAATTGGTACATTAATTAATACATATAATATTATTCTTATTTATTAGAATTACAATTCCAAAAAAACCATAACCGAAATCAATACAAAAAATGTCATTTTCTTGTATAAATTTTGTACTCTTTACTGTTGTTAAAAAAAATCAGTGACTGTAATAACTTTTTTCAAGTCTACGATTAAGTAATTCTCCCTTATTTTATTGGGTTGTAGTCAGCATTAAGTTGCCAACGAGTACGAACATGTGGAGGCGCCTAATTGTGTATTAGGATCCTCTAGAGTGGGATGCCTTGAAGTGATCCTGAAGTGAGTGATCCAACGGTTCAAAATAAAACTAGCCAAAACGACGTCGTTTTGGTTAGTAATTTCAAAAAAAAAAAAAAAAAAAAAAAAACAACAACAACAACAAAAAAACAGAAATCAACTTTCTGGGTTCGCTTTCACTAGTTTGTGGGAGAGTTTGAGATAGAGAGAGAAGGGACCAGAGCAAGAGAAGGGACAGAGCTTTGATTTTGAGTTGAGACTCTACTTCATTTTAGAAATCTTTTGATTCAAGTGGATAGTGAGTGGTTCTTGTTCTTGATCTATACACTAGTGCTTCACAAATCAGCCCTTGATGATGATGATGAACATCCTTTGTTCAAGTCAGCCATAGAAGACCTTCTGTCAACGATTTCCTCCGTCGATTTCCATGTCGTTGATCGGATATGCTGATTTTGATGATGATGATGATGATGATGATACAGATCTGAATCAATCTTTGGTCCTCGCACTAAGGGGTTTGTAAATAACATATATGCATATATAAATACATATCTGAATCATCTTTTTATGATGATGATGATAAAGATATGAATAATTTATATATCAAATCTAATTTCATTAGATTTATTATATTAATATATATATATATGAATAGAATACATATCTATATCAATCTTTTGATGATGATGATGACAATGATGATACAAATCTGAATCAATCTTATTATCGACGAATCGATTTAATCTTTTGAAGCCTCTTTCTCATTTTTTTCATGGGTTTTCTTTAATCTTTTGATGATGATGATGATACATATCTGAATCAATTTTATTATTGAACGATTTAATCTTTTTTTATTTATTTAGATTTCACAGATCAAAATCCATGAAAATGATACAGTTTGAAACTCTTTCTCATTCTGTTTACATTTTTTCTTCAATCTTTTGATGATGATGATGATGATACAGATCTGAAACAATCTTATTATCGAAATATTAATCTTTTTTTTTATTTATTTAGATCTCACAGATCAAATCCATGATATGATACCGTTTGAAGCTTCTTTCTCATTCTTTTTGGGTAAGTAGCTTCTTCTTCTTCTTCTTTCTCATTCTGTTCACATTTTTTTTTCTTCATTATTTTTTTTTATAATTTTTCTCCACCAAAACATATCGTTTTGACAAGAATTAATCTCAACCTTCCATTATGACACGTCGATCCGATCTCACTCATTAGAGACACCATCATCTCATTCACTCTAGGGATCACAACGCCCTAATTGTTTTGTATTCTCCCAACCCAACAACGGCTATATTCACCACCGCCCCCGCCCAACGGTACATTTCTCTCACAAAATTGCAACGGAGACAAATCTTTTCTATTCCTCCGCTCTCCTCATTACGATTAGGCTCACATCCGCATGCAATTCTTCCGTCTCCTTACACTTGAATCCACTTTTTTCCGATCCGATCAATGTATTTTTCACCCAATTCGATTTAGGGTTTTTCAACCACTCAAATTCCATCTCCCAATTATCGAATCATTAGGTTTTAGAGGTTTCGGTTGTCTTGATCAGAATCGGAGTTAGTGTTGTGGTTTTGTTTGAATTTCTGTGCGATCGGTGACATGAAGATCGAAGAGTTGGACGAGGTTGAATCTGATGGAAGGAGTTACAATCACAGTGATTTCTGGAAGAATGATTGTTCGGGTCGAGCAAAGAGAGCGCTAGTCGGAGCTGGGGCTCGGATCCTGTTCTACCCGACCCTTCTGTACAATGTTTTCCGGAACAAGATTCAAGCTGAGTTCAGTGGTGGGACCAAATTGATCGGGTTTTGGTTCTAAGTCCCTTCATATATATATATATGTATGTATATTTGTGTATGTTGTTGTATCTGTTTTTTGTGTTTGCTTTGGTCTTGTGTTGTAGCACTGTGATTGTTGCTCTATGTTTTAATTTCTGGAGTTGTTTTTGTTTGATCTGTTTGGTTGCTGGGAAAATGGAGGACTACAAAGAAAAAAAAGGATTTTTGTGTTGTTTTAATGGGTGGTAGTTTAGTAGCTTTTGGAATTGTTCTTCTCGATCCATTTGGTTGTTGAGAAAATAGAATTCCTATGTATTTCAGTTCTAGAGAAAATAAAGACCACGTATGACTGTCACTGTATGTAATAGTTTCTGGAGTTGTTTTTCTTTGATCTGTTTGGTTGCTGGAAAAAAAAAAAAAAAACAAAACAAAAAAATTGAAAAGTGAAGTAGTTCAGTAGAGCTTTAAAATTGTTCTTCATGATTCATTTGGTTGTTGAGAAAATAGAATTCCTTTGCATTTAAGTTACTGGAGAAAATGTAGGAAAAGATGGGATAATGGGGCCTGTTATTCTTAGAATTCTGATTATCTGAATTGGAGAAAATGAAGAGCTTCGTGAAACTTTGACCAATGCAACTACTTTACATTTCATTTTCTTGGTGTTCTTGGTGCACTGATGGAATGTGAGCTTAAATTAAAGGGATCATGATTTATTGATTTGAGTTTTTATTTCTATTTTGATTTTTAAACAGTATCTTCTGCTGGGGGCGGTTCCATTCCCTAAGGATGTTTTGCAGTTGAAGCAGCTTGGTGTTGGCGCTGTCATCACCCTTAATGAGCCTTATGAAACGTTGGTTCCAACATCATTTTACCATGTGAGGTGATGTCGTCTGCGCTGATTCGGCGGCTGGGGATTGGGAGGTCACGGCTCAGGTCCAGGGATTTCAAGAACATGTCCATTTTTGCCACAATTGACAAGGTTAGTAATTTTACATACATAATATATGGTATATATTTACATATATACATATTAATTGTGCCAAATTTAGTTGTTTGAATTCTCAACTTATATCTGTAAAATTTGATTCTCTTTACCAAACGGCGTCGGCTTGACACGAAACTTAACACACACGACCACCTAGGCACGAGAGACTTGTGGGAGAAAACGGTACTTCCAATCCGGTTCCCGGTTTTGGAGTTAGGCCTCGTTTGGGAACAGTGCTAATTTATCTCTCCCTGTAAGATTGGGGAAAATAAAGCAAGAAACTCACCCTTGAAGAACACTTCAAGAACAGTTGGTCCAGCCACTCTTTTCTGACCAAAATCAGTCCAAAATCTTAAGAATCAACCCTCAATGTCTCTCAAACTCGAAGCAAGGTGTGGTAGTTAGAGTGATGCGCCGAGCCCGATGCATGTAAGACAAATGTGTGGATGCACGCATGCATAGCATAAGGTATGCTAATTTAAATATGTCCTAGTCTACCATCATAAGCGGGTAAATAAAAGGGAAGAAAGACGTGGGGTTGGAAGACATACACACACTCACGCACACTTATTACACAATTGCCCTCGCTCGAAGGGTCCGAATAAATATTACAGTCCGAATAAATAATACTAAATTACTTATTACAAAATTTCTAATCTATTTAACAAATTAAATGCAAAGAGAAGATGGCCGCAGCCCCCGCCTCGGGATGCGTGAATGATGCATGTTCGGATTTATCTTGCCCCGAAAGCCAGTACCTTACCACTGCTGCCTCTGTTTACACTGCCCTGCTTCTCTGAAAATTGCCAAAATCCTGGGACAGGTTTCCTGAACCCTGTAGGACACCATCGGCTGAAGGGAATACCCACCGGTCATGGAACTTATCCATTGGTTGGGGTTTCATATTATCGGCCACCAATCCATGGCCGGTCGGCACTCTACAATGCCGGTTGGCAAAAACTCCCTGTAGAAACTGGTTTTTGATAGCAACAAGGACAGACGGTGTATGGCATGGAATTTCAAGCAAATGTATGCGCGAACACACTCCCTATCATGCAAGGGACTCAAGGGAGCATGACCCTCGAACCTCGGGCCATCAACCATGCATTTTGATGCGTGATGGCCTAAGGGGCCAAGGTTGCAATTCAATGAAAATGCATGCAACATATAAATGAATACCAAAACCCTATCATGCCAAAGTCAAGGGCCTCGGTGACCGAGAGTTGAGACGCGTTACATCACTTGTAGTATGAACACTCCTCCCCCCTCACACTTGGTTTGACTCCCCAAACCAAGCAATGCAATGCATGTTATGCAAACATGGCTCGAAAATGCAACATATCACTAAAATGCAAAGCATGCCAAATGTAATGCAACATATCATGGCAAGCATGCAATGTTCCTAACATGCAATGCTACAATACAACTCATCATGCAATGCTAATATGGTACAATGCAAACATGCGATTAGAGGCAACAAGTGACGCATACAACCATGTCTGAGAAGGGACTTAGACTGAAATGGGAGGCCTCAAACACCCCCCAAAACAGTGGCCAAAAGTGTCTCAAGTGATGGGAAAAATGCACTACAAGCATGCGAGTCAAAAGGGGCCCAAGGCTAAGGCATAACAACAGGGCACTCCACTACCACTAACCCAAACAAGCATGGCATGAACTATACAACCCAAAAACAGAATTTTAGCATGCAAAATAGCTCCAAAACCCACTGGTATGGTAGCCCTAAAATGACCCAAACACAGGCATACATCCAAAATAGCTCCAAAACCCGCTAGTATGGCAGCCCTAAAATGACCCAAACACATAGGCATACACAATGCACATGTAAAGGCATGAAAATACAACACTTCAAGGCATTGAAAGAGACACAAAGGACAATGTAAGACCACATTATATGGACTGGAATATGATCTCAACTAATGCCAAATGATGATAATAGGCCAAGCTAGGCATGTTAATGATCCATACACTCAAGGCTCATGACCAAAATGCAAAACAACTATATCAAGCATGCTAAGCAAGACCAAATCAGTGGCCAACAGACCTCATGCATGACAAAATATGGTCAAGAACTTCACAAAGTGAAGCCAAAATATGAGAGCATGGTAGTCAAAAGTCATGATGCATTTCTAGGCACAAACAAGGGAATACAAAGCAAGTATGTTAAGCATGCAAAGGGCCACCAATCCGACCAAAAACAGAGATAACATGTGACCTAAATAGCACCAAAAACATCTGATATGGAGCCAAAAACAACCAAGCATATATGCTACCCTTATGAGCCCAAAACATGCACAAATGAGACACAAAGGGAGAGGGGTGTCGCTCCCCTATACAAGACTTCAAACCATCTTCTTCACCACTAAAAATCCACTGGATTTCAGTGGTGAGAAGGCTAATACAACAAAGCAAATAAGGCTTAAAGAAAAAGACACCAAAAGGTGCCAAAAGAGACCTAAGAGAGGGATTTCGACCCCCAATGCCAAAACACCCTTAATGAAAATTCTTAAGCATGAAAATATAAGACTTTTTTTAGTTATACACAAAGCTCAAATCAATATGCAAGATAGGTCAAAAGCCAATGCAAGATTGGGGAAAATAAAGCAAGAAACTCACCCTTGAAGAACACTTCAAGAACAGTTGGTCCAGCCACTCTTTTCTGACCAAAATCAGTCCAAAAACTCAAAAACAAACCCTCAAAGCCCTTCAAGGTCGAAGCAAGGTGTAATAGTGTGTGTCTTAGTGCAAAACTAAGGTGAAAATGTACTTTTAGGCCATAAAACACACACAAGGGAGGAGAGAGAGTGAAATATAGAGAGAGAGGGTGTATATATCAGATATATATATGTATAAGCTCTGGTTTTTCTTTCAAAACCACCAACCCTTGTCAATAGGAGAAGAGGGGTCCTTATATAGGCAAAGGGAAATGGTTTAAGCTTCTCAAAGAAGCTAAGTGAAAGGGGCAAAGGGGGCAAAGGAGTCAAGGCTTCTTGAGGAAGCTAGGACAGCTGGCCAAGCTTCCTCAAGAAGCTTGGCCAAAGGGTTCAACCTTCTAGAAGGAAAAAGGGGTGCAAAGGCTCAAAACAGCCACTTCATGCACGGGGAGGAGTGTTGTTGCATTCCAGCTGGCACAGCTGGCATGCACCAATCTGAAGGGTGCAAAAGGGTCACACCGGCCAGCAAAAAAAGGTCACCGCCCAAAACAAAGTGCCGGTCGGCAAAATATAGTGCCGACCGGCCATTGGTTTTAAGAAACCACTGCCGGTGGCACCAATAAACGGCCGGTGATGTGAGGGGACCGCCGGTGGGGTGTGGGAATGGCCAACAAGCCATTCCCTGCCTTTCAAGGCAAAAACACAAGTGTTTGGTGCAAAACCAGACACCGAAAAGTCGAGTCAAGAGATCCTGAGGCGAGGCGCGTAGCCAAGACCTCCGGGAACTCGAGACGAACACAAGCACGGATGATCACTAAGTGTTCCAACGGTGACGTCCAAGTCTTGAGGATGGTCAAAAATGGGGTGTCTACACCCTGTGTTCCGTTTCCCTATGTTTTAATCTTTTGGAATAAAATGTCACGTGAAACTCTAAGGTAGTGTTTGGTTCACTGTAATAAAGTTCAAAGATTCCTTACACTTCTCATATTTGGTTGACTAAAAGAATAATGAAAAATTCATTGCAATAAGAATAATCATTTATCTCATTCCAATGAACCAAATAAGGTGTCAATGAGATTGAAGTATTTCAAATATGATTAGTGTTCTAATAAACGATTCGATTTATTTTGATAAATGTGTGAATTGGGTTTCCTTTTTTAACATGAAAAGTAATGTTTTGTGATCTTTTGTTTTTATTTGATTGTAAAAAATTAGAATTATAGTGAGAAAGAAATAGCCCATTGTACTTAAATTATGACACAATTAAGTAATCAAATAGTCAATGTACATCCATTGGTATTTAAACCTAATCTATAAATAGCACTATTAAATGAGTTATTTCTTCACTACAGGTCTCTGGTATTTCAACCTCTTCAACAACCTTGGAGTTCATTTTAATTCAAATCATGGACAACATTCATATTTTTGGTTATGTATGTTTAGTTTATAGTTTTTGAATCAAGGCTTAATTTTTGACTTTTTATTTATAATTTTTCTCAGAATCAAATGCTTTTGTATTATTTTTTACAGGTGGATGATATGTTAGAGGAAACAGTAATATTAGATCTCTCTACTCATTTTTTAATTTTATTTAATCTACATTCCTTAATATAATTTTTCTTTTACCTTTCGAATGCATTTCTATATATACACAAGTTCGGTTTCTTCAAAACAGAAATGTCAGTGTTGTGATCCATAATGAACGGGACTTCAATGTCCTCTGTGTTCATGGGGTAAGCCCACTAATCAAATTTATTTGCTTCTCATATTTTTCTCTTAATAATTTTTGCTTATTTTTTGAAAGGTAAAGGCAAAGGCAAAGGCAAAGGTAAAGGCAAAGGAAAATGAGAAGCCTAAAGGAAAAGGAAAGGAAAACTACTCAAGAAATGGAATAAAAAATACACAAGTAGTATGGTTCTTTTCAAGTTTGTTTTGGAGTATGTGTAAAGAAAATCATGGGGGGAACGTGATATTTTGATGCATGCATAATCTCTGTGTAACTTTTTTTTTTTTTACTGTAAAGTTTGTGAAGATGGGCATGGTGCTTTTAATCCTTAATTTATTCATTTTCAAACTAAATTATGCATCCTTAAAAAACAATACACTAGAAAAAATTATAAAGGATCTTTTACAAAGATATATAAAATTTTCCAAATAGAAGAGGGAAGTGACTAAAGTTTAAAAAAGAACACAAATGATGAAAGAAGGAAATAAATTGATAGTGTATTTTAATTAAAATTGTGTTTAAATTATGATCAAGTCAAACTTTTGTAGGATTGGATTGAAAAAGCTATGGAGCTCAAGAGGATAACTAAGACTACATTGC